ACAACATGATATGGGAGGGATCATTTCTTTGTAGATAAAAAGGGGCAAAAAAACTAGCTTGGATTTTAATCTAAAACAATGCTTCACATTTATTCATATAGTGCTTTATTGCAGCAGCTCAGTGAGGAGGGCAGTGCAGGATTTGGAATCACAGAACTATAACGGGTAGGGACCTTAGAGATCCTCTTCTAGTCCAGGGAGTCCTTAGCCTTTTTGGTGTCCTGGACTCCTCTGGGAGTCTGGTGACACCTATGGAATGAATGTTTTCAATGTATGGGCGGAGAGGCTAGAAATGCCTCTTCCTCTCAAAAGCTTATGGACGTGATTGTTGATAAATCAAAATAAATTAATAAAAAAAATAATAAGATAAAAACATTCCTTGAGAAGAAAAAAAAAAAAAAGAAAGCAATGTCTCTTCCTGCCTCCCTGCGAACCACGTTTAGACAGATATTTGCAGGCGAGGAAGGCACTACCCGTCTCCCTACAGCACCGGGCCTTGAGAAGCATCAGTTGAACTGACCTTGGAGCACAACCCATACCAATGAAAGGGGCTAAGCTTTACAAAGTAATTTCTTCACAAGCACCCTGGGGAGAGGGTGGCGCAAGGATTACCCCCCATTTCACAGAGGGAAAACTGAGGCTTGGAGGCAGGACATGACGTCCCTCACACACGCACCTCCCCACCCCCACGTCCAGCACTCGCTCATTCCTCCAGGATCTAGGGGCTGCTCCTCTCCCCTCCCCCCAACCCCCCCAAGAACAATTCACAGACCCTCCAAGGTGGCAGAGGCGGCAGAGGCCGCAGAGGCCCTATGTCACCCTGCCTCTGCGGGTCCTGGGGGAAGTCACGGAAGGCTTCCGGGGGTGGAGGTACGAGGCGGGGCCTGGCGGTGGCGGGGGTTGGGGAGGGGGTTGGGCCCTGAAGGCTAGGGGGGACGCTTCGTCTGACGGGGTTGAAGGCTGTCTAACGTCGCCCCAAGGCCTCCGGTGTCCACCCTCTGGCCCAGACTCACCCCCTTCCCGTTAGGAAGGTTCCCCGCAGGTCTGGGACGCCCCCGCTTCTTCGGCTACCTGACCCCCACAGGACCCCGCACGGATCACGGCGGGGTCGGGGGGCGGTTGGGTGGAGCCCGCCCACGTGACCACCACGTGCTGGGTCTCCCTCCCAGCTGAGCATGCTCCAAAGTCCCCCTGTTCCCGCCTGCCCCACATTGAAGGGATGTGGTCCAGGCCCTACAGCAGACCACGAGGCCCGGCCTCTCTCGTTTTACAGAGGAGGAAACTGAGGCTCAGAGCGAGAAAGGGTCTTGCCCAAAGTCACCCAAAGGTGAGTGGTAGTTAGTCCCCAAGACCTAGGATTCCCAAGCCAATTGCTCTATGGTCCATGTTCCAAGGGCCCTCCCAGCTCTGACATCCTGTGTTCTAAGGTCTCTCCCATCCCTAACAACCTATGTTCTAAGGTCTTTCCCAGCTCTGACATCCTGTGTTCCAAGGGCCCTCCCAGCCCTGACAACCTGTGTTCTAAGGTCTCTCCCAGCCCTGACATCCTGTTTATTTTATTTATTTTTTTTAGTTTTCAACATTCACTTTCATAAGATTTTGAGTTTTAAATTTTTTCCCTTCCTCTCCTCTCCCCTCCCCAAGATGACGTGCAATCTGATAATAGGCTGTACTTACACATTCATATTAAACATATTTTCACATTAGTCATGATGTAAAAAAGAATTAGAACTAATGGGAGGAACCATGAGAAGGAAGAAACAAAATGAAACAACAAGAAAGGAGAGCAAATAGTATCTTTCCTCTGCATTCAGACTCCGTAGTTCTTTCTCTGGATGTAGATAACATTTTCCATAGTGAGTCTTTTGGAGTTGTCTTAGATCCTTGCATTGCTGAGAAAAGCTAAGTGTATCAAAGTCAGCCTTTGCACAATGTGGTGGTTACCTGTGTACAATATTCTCCTGGTTCTGCTCATTTCACTCTGCATCAGTTCATGTCTTCCCAGGTTTTTCTTACTGCTCATCATTTCTTATAGCACAATAGTATTCCATTACATTCATATACCACGACTTGTTCAGCCATTCCCCAATTGATGGGCATCCCCTCAATTTCCGATTCTTGGCCACCACACAAAGATTGGCTATAAATATTTTTGTACATGTGGGTCCTTTCCCCTTTTTTATGATCTCTTTGGGATACAGACCTAGAAGTGGTATTGCTGGGTCAAAGGGCATGCACAATTTTATGCCCTTTGGGCATAGTTCCAAATTGCTCTACAGGATGGTTGGATCAGTTCACAACTCTACCAACAATGCATTAGTGTCCCAATTTTCCCACATCTTCTCCAACATTTATCATTTTGCTGTTTTGTTATGTTAACCAATCTGATAGGTGTGATGTGGTACCTCAGAGTCGTTTTGATTTGCATTTCTCTAATCAATAATGATTTAGAGCATTTTTTCATGTGACTGTAGCTTTAATTTCATCTGAAAACTGCCTCTTCATCTCCTTTTACCATTTATCAATTGGGGAATGACTTGTATTCTTATAAATTCAACTCAGTTCTCTATATATTTTAGAAATGAGGCCTTTATCAGAGACACTGGCTGTAAAAATTGTTTTCCAGCTTTGTGCTTCCCTAGACTTGGTTGCATTGCCTTTTTGTGCAAAAACTTTTCAATTTAATGTAATCAAGGTCATCCATTTTGCATTTCATAATGTTCTCTGTCTCTTGTTTAGTAATAAATTCTTCCCTTCTCCACAGATCTGACAGGTAAGCTATTCCCTGCTCTCCTACTTTGCTTATAGCATCAATCTTTATATCTAAATCCTGTACCCATTTTGACTTTATCTTGTTATAGGGTGTAAGATGTTGGTCTATGCCTAGTTTCTGCCATACTATTTTCCAGTTTTCCCAGTTTTCGTTAAATAGTGAAGTAAATCTGCTTATCCCAGAAGCTGGAGTCTTTGAATTTATCAAATAGATTGCTATAGTCATTTGATCTCCTCTGTTCTGGCATCCAGTGTCCTGAGGGCCCTCCCTGCTGTGACAATGTTTTCTAAGGCTTCTTCCACCTCTGCCGTTCTATGTCCAATAAAAGCCTTCCGAGCTCTGATATCCTGTGTCTTAAGGGCTGTCCCAGATCTGACATTTTAAAACCCTTACATTTGTTGGTAAAAGAGAGAGGAAAGACCGACAGCAGCACACAGGCATTTATCTTGGAAGAACTGGACTTCCCAAAGGGAGTAAGAATGCAGGGAATCTGAATGCAGTCAGGTGAAAAGTGAAGGGGTGGGGCTAGATTAGTTGAACTATTGAACCACCTTGAATTCCCAAAAACAATCCTCAGTGGACAGGATTGTAATAATGTTATAGATGCAGTGTGATAACTGCAGTGCTCACAGATTAGGCCTTCTGTGAACCTTGAAGGAGAAAGACAACTAAATGTGAAGTGGGAGATGAGAATGACCATTTATGTATAGACACTGCCTTGTAGTTACATCTGCTTCCGTTGATTCTTGTTTGATCCCCATGACGACCTTGTCATCCTCATCTTACTGATGAAACCGGTTAACCCAGCAGGTGAATGGCAGAGCCTTCGGTTCAATAACAGCATTATGATGTTAGCAAATATATGCTAGAACCTGTTAGATCAGTTAGGAGACCTGGGTTCAAGTACTAACTGCCACTGATTCATTTGACCTTGAATCACATAGCCTCAGTTTTCTCTCTGGGTAACTGAGGCCTCTGAGATCCCTGCCAGGTCCAACATGCCACAGATGTCCGAGTCCAGTGCGTCTTATCCCGGGGTACCTGGGGAACCACTACAATTCTGTAACAACAAATAGTTTTTTGCTAATTTGCTAAGAATTACAAAATTGGTGGGGGGGGGAGGCCCCCAAGAGATTCTTCCAACATCCAAAAGAGTCATTTATGAGCATTAATAACAGATGACATTTATGTGGCACCATCTCGTTACAAAGTACTGCCTTTGTGTGGATTATCGGATTTGTTCTTCCCAGTACTCCGTGCCGTGGGTAAGGCGTAAATTGTCAGCATATTTTAAAAGCGGAAACTGAAGCTCAACAATGTTTGGCCTTCTTCAGAATCCTACAGCTAAGTGGTGATTTCGAACTCTGGGCTTGTGCTTCCTCTCTCTTGGGTTAGTTTAAGGCAGGAGCTCTCTCTTTGATACGTAATTCTTACAAGTGAATTGAACAGGGGACCCCGAGGTGGATTGACAATCCTTTAACTAAAACATTTTAGAGCTGGAAATGGATTCAGAACACAATGACAGCATGGGGAAGGGTCTTCATGATCATTTAGCCCGACTCCTCCCTTAAAAAGATAAGAAAACTGAGGTGCCCAGAGATGAAGTGACTTGTTCAAGGTCACAGTGACGAAAACCAGAGAAACTGCTCTGGTGGCCCACCTCCCCTTACACAGAAATACTAACACTGTCACAAAGTAATAGCACGTTATTATGATGAGCTGTGGAAGCAGCCTTGGAAACCATCCACAGAAAGGGTACATGTTATCCAAGATACACTTTACTTGCCCTTTTAGCAGCTTGATCACAGGTTGGGAAACTCGATTGTGAATGTTAAGGGGAAAATAACAGCAAAGATGCAGAGGGTTCTTTCTCGCAGCCTTATGTTGTGGTTTTGACTAATGGAAGATTTCCTAGGCCTCACAGAAGCGCCCTGATCAGGCCACTGTCTGAAGCTCTCTCCCCATGGCCAGCCCCTTTCCTTGCTGGGAAGCGCTTACTGTCATTGAAGTGCTTCCCTCAACCACTGAGCTTAAATGTGCCTCCTGATCATTTTCCCACTTGGTACTAATTCTGTCCTTGGTCCCAAGCATTCTTATTTTTCTTCCACACATAACCAATTCTCCAAATATTATTTAAAGAAGCCAGATTCCATTTGTATGTACCCCAAAATGTGCCTCTTTCCCCAAAATTGGTCCATTTCACAAATTCATAATTGAAACCATTGGAAATGTTTTCTCTCTACATTTATTATAGCTGCTAAAAGATTAACAATGTTCACAACTAAAAAAAAAATCCAACTTCCATCATCACAAGCATCTTCTAGGCTTTAGCACTGTCAATTTACATGGAACATGTTAAAATTCACTACAAGATTACCCAGGATAAAAACAAACCAAGAGACAGTAAACACACCATGGAAGTAAGTTAAAATTTTCATTGATGCTTGCAGCCTTCACGAAGAGACCCTGGAAACTAAAATAACAGAAAAGAAACTAGTAACTTTAACAAAGTAGTGTTTTTGTGCAACATCTTATGTACCGCATTTTCAATTCAGCCTGCAGAAGCAGAGTAGAGCGGGGGGAGGGGGGAGATTCCTTTCATAAAGGAGAGGCGGGCCGTTCTCAGCAAAACAAAGGGAGTACGGGGAACCCGACATGAGCCACACTAGAATCTTAGTACCAGTGCCGCTCGTCTGGCATCTTGCCCCAAACAGAAGTTTGGTACAAGAAAGACCGACCATACCACAATTATCCAGGACAGCAGTTTAAGACTCCCTTAAGAACCACAATTCACATTTCTTTCCAAGAGTGTGTTATACTCCAGCAAATTGCTTTCCAATGAATTGCAATCAGGAGGGAATATAACCTGAGTCTTTATAGGTTATTTTCATGTACACCAAAATGGTACTGTACCATCTGTCTCAGCTCAAACCAAAACATTCCCAGAATAATGACTAGGATCTAGGTGGCTGAGAAAGTGGGACTGCCCCAACATGGGAAGCCACACTCTTGATTTATACTCGCTTAACTGTAAACAGAACTCTTAACTAGTTGAAAGAATGAAAGTGCTTCCAAGAAGTCAATATGGAAGAAGAGGTGAAGTGGCAATAATAGCATCAAAGGCTCTTGTGGATGAGCTGCAAAGAGCTACACCCATATTGAGGGAGTATGAAAAATGTTTTCAGAGACCAATCACATTGCTTCCATAAAGCCACACTTGAAAACTGACCACAACTGATGAATGTCTAATTTCAAAAGACCATTATTAATTCGTCAATACAATGGCCAATTAAGAATAAATTAAGAAAAAGGTGCAAGGAATGCACCTCTGTATTAAGGGTCCAGAAAAAGCCACATAAATTCTTGCTATTCCCAAATTTCCCAAAGAAGCCTACATTGATTCTTGTAATGTAGCTGTGCAGCCCAATGTTTTGTTAAACTTTTTTGAAGGAGGCTTGTTCATTCATCTTTTGGGCTGAACTCCTTGGCATCTCCAAACCAAATCGCAAAGGAAAAGTAAGAATTGTTTTTGGGTCTTGAATCAAGATACTTTAAACTCCTCTGTGTCGAAAGGCAGAGGCATCTGCCAGGTGGCACAAGAAGATACCACCGTACCAGTGAGACTGAACACACTGCATACCTATTGGGATTTTGCTTTGGCAGCTGGATCAATTTCAAGAGAGCATCTGGAAAAGAGGGTCCAGCCTGGCAAAGTATCATGGTATTACATTCCTGGGGGCCTGGCTTAGTGGCATTACTGACAGTCAAGGTAATAAAAGAAACCTGGTCATCACAGCTGGAAGGTGTTTTTGTTTTTTGCTTTGGGGAAGCAATGATTCTTTAATGAACCCAAAACGAAGACAGTTCTCTCTTTTCTGTCACTCTCCTAAGAGAAGTGATTGCTCAGTCCTCTAGCTTTACAGATGAATCAGCAGGACAGCTGTGATAATTTACTGAAGAGGATCCCAAGCTGTCTTGCATTTTAACACTTGTTTAAAACTTCAACACTGACACTTTATCATAAAGGACTTAATTTCTGGTAGCTTAAGAATTCTGCATGTAGGTATAAGAATTGTGGTGCCAGATAGATTAAGACTGCTGTGTAGTCTTTTAAATAAGAAACAGATGCACTGGAAATTCCAAGACAGGATTATTTTTTTTTCTCTTTCCCTCACAAGGACTGTAATAAAATAATCCTTTACCCATTGCTACACATGCAAAAAAGGGAAGAGTTCTTACTAGTTTCAAAATACATCACAGAAGAGGCAATGGGCAGGACACAAAAGTGTATGTTTTTTGTTTATTTTTAACGACTGTGGCACAATCTATGAATTCTTAGGCCCCTTGCCAACTGGGGAGAAAGAAGGTAAGCAGTCTAATGGACTGTTCCCCACTGAACACAGGTATCTAAGACTACTGCAGAACCGTACTACGTCTAAGACACACTGAAAAGTTATAAGATTTGCCCACAAGTAAACACACTTGTCGAGTCCAAAGACTTCCGAGTCTTCTGAAGAACTTCTGCTTTGGCACTGTAATTTGTCTTCTACTGAAATTCAGAAAGGCAATTAGAAAGGAAGATTTGTAATCATTCCTGGGTTACATTTGGTCTCATAAGCAAAGGACAGGTTTGCTGACAGAGCTTCTGGAGGTCAATGGATGTTCAATCAGATCAGAAACAACTGCATTTTTTTTTTTTTTAAGCACACAAGATAGGATATCTGAGAATGGGCATTTCAATATTTTGAATTTCATTTTAGTGCTACCTTCTGGTAGGACAAGAAGAAACTGATTTAGTTCATTTCTGCTTCCCCAAGGAGCAAAAACGGAAACCATGAAAAGACTTGAAAAAGACTTGTGCTTAAAAGAGCTTTAAACAAAGGTTAAAAACAAATAAACAAAAAGGATTCTGGAAATTTAGGGTTTTTTCCCCAAAAAAACAATCTTCGCAACAAAGACAGAAATTTCCTTCGGTATATGCATTCACTATGCCCATCCACAGGGATACACTGGCTCTGCTGTTAATGCAGATCAGCAAAAAAAGCTTTCAAGATTCACCACCTTGGGGCTATATCTTTAATCAATGTTGCCTGGTTGTTCCTTGAAGACAACTATTTTGTCCAAAGTCTGGCTGGGGAATAGGTGGGAAAAAAAGAAGGCATCTGAAAAAGAATAGGAAAATGAAATGGAAAAAAATGTCAGCACTAATTAAACTTAGACAAGGAAAATGTTTGGAATGGTCTTCTTCTGACTACGGAATCATCTCGTTTCCTTTATGGGCTCTGATGCAGGCCTTCTTCATCGGTGAGACAAAACCTTGGCAAAACGACGGAATGAATTCTGCAAGTCAAAAGGAGTCTCTTCCAGGTAAGCTGGCACCTAGACTGTCAGCCTGTGCAGCACGTGCAAGGCTGAAGCTTGGCAAACTAGTAGGTGGGTAACATTAACTTCTGAGTTCACTGTGCCAAAGAAAATCCCTTTGCACATTGTCAAAGTGAACTAAAAATCACCAGAAAGCCTGTAGGGCAGCAGCTTTGTCAAACATCGGCGTTTCCAGCCTGTAACACATTTCTTCTGCAAACCTAGAGGGTAAGAAGTTGGATAGATCTGCATTCTGACGGCTTGGTTTTTTTTTTTTGTAAAACCGAATTCTTGTGGGTTTTTTTTTTGTTGTTGTTGGTTGTTGTTTTTTGAAATGTAACATTTCAGAAATTTTTTTTTCCAAAACTAGAATTTCAGTGTAGGCAGGAATTCATGAAATGAACGTGCCCAGGCACATACCTATTTACTTGCTCGTTTCTGCCTGTACATTTGTATCATTCTTTGACGGAAAACATCAAATGTATCTTCGTTATTTTCTTCCCCTTCAACACCCAAGCCCTCCCCTTCAGAGGTAGTTCCCCTATGGGAGTAAAATGGACAATTAGTATAGGACTCTGCTTTTTTCAGCTACATGATTAAGTACAGAAAATAGTTTAAAAATAATCAAACATGTATAGATAGTTAAGTATATGGTACACTGTTTCTGTTGAGGATATGTGGCATGACATTAGAAAAAATGTTACAGAGAAAAACAAAATGTACTTACCTTATTCACAGCTGTACTTACCTATTTGTAAGGAGAGGAAATCCCTTGTTTATACTGTAGAAATTTAGTGTAGCCCTAATGTAGCAGGTCTCAAACTTACTTTTTAATTAAATACTTGCTACACACAATGGGCTCTTGAAAATTATTTGAGATCTCTGATTACCTCCCTACAAATGAAAAGGGGTTCTAGGTTTTAACCCTGGGGCCATTTTTGTATGTCCTGGCATTTGAAAACAGCAAATGTTACTGAAATTACAAAGATTAAGAAGATAGGTAAATGGACTGTACAGTCCAAATCACTGGCTAAACTTCCAAAATATACATTTATAAAGATCTTGAGACCTTAATTAGGCTTTTATTTTAAAAAATAAGACAAGGTCCTGAAACCTAAGATTCTTAATTCAGATATTAAGGAGACAGAAATAGCCATTTTAGAGATCAAACTCCCTCATTTAAAGATGAGAAAACTGAGCCCCAGTGACTTGTCCAAGGTCATACAGTAGCAAAGTAGTGCTGGCTCCAAATCCTTTTCACCATATCTTAATTCCTCTACCGGAGCCAGGAAAAACAAATAAACAAACAAACAAAACCCCCCATTATCCTTTTCTTTTATTTGTGGCTTATAAACATCTCTGACTCTGAGAAGTACCAAGAAGTATATGAGCCCACTTTAAAGAGAGCAAGAACCAGGACAGAAAAAACTTTGAAAAGTACTGTCATTATGAAGAGGACCCTGGAGTCTCGCCTGACAGTAAATAGTGAGTTAACTCTGCTGCTCCTGGGAACTGCTTCCCATTTCTTTTCTCCTAAGACTTTCAAATTGTGATGAGGATGATGTGACTTGCTGGGGATCATGAACAGTAACACATTTCTATAGTCTTATTTTTACAGCTATGAAGCCCTTTATCTCATTTGACCCTCACCACTGCTCTCTGGGGACAGTGGAACAAGTATTTTCCTCAATTTACAGATGAGGAAACAGAAGCTTTGCACGGGAAAGTGACCTGCCCAAGATAATACACAGAGATTAGGCCACGAATTGGGAGTTACTCCCTGTGGCTCCGCAGTCCCAGCCCTGGGCTCTTCCTACCAAACCACACTGGCTCTGCATGATCAATGAGCCTTCTAGGGCCGACTTTGAAACCTCTTCCTCCTGCTCCCTCTTGGCAGGAGTGTACCTGTCCCTATTATTTTATTGTTCTTGCATTTCTGAAGTCGGTTACCATTACATACACTTTTACAGGCTCCTTAATTCCTTTCCCACGTGAGCCCAGGCCATATCCCTCCTTCCAGCCCATCTTCTGAAGCATTTGAAAACCCACATTCCTGTCAGTCAGTTTCTGCTGAGCAAATTCCAAGTCTTTGTGTTTCTGAAGAGAGAAAGAAAAAAGTTAAATCTTTCTGAATTACAATATGCTTCATTTATTCAAAAAGCTGTATTCAGTGCTCCCTACAAACAGAGAACACGTTGCTGGGCACTGAGGGAGACAATGATATAGGATTATTGGGACAGTGTGTGGTGGTAGAATAAGTGTGGGCCTGAAGGGTCAGGAGGCCTCGGATCAAACCCAGACTCAGCTACTCACTAACTGTGTGACCTTGGGTAAGTCTTTTCTCTAGACTAGTTTCTTCATCTGTAAAGTGAAAATAATACAGGTACTGCTTATCTCACAGGGACGCTGTGAGGAAAGTGCTTGATAAGCCTGCAAGTGTGACAGAGATGGGAGCTATTCTATTACCTATGAGCTTCACAGTCAAAGAAAATGAACAAAGAATTTCCAAAAGAAGAATCACAAAATTCAGTTTTATAATTTGAAAACAACTTACAGAGAACCTGGAAGCAAGAAGAGCTAAAAAGATGAATACAAAAAATGCCTGGTCTGGTACTCTAAGAATTTTGTCAGACGTGCTCACAACCAGCAACCGAGTGACATAAGAGACAGCGCCATGACTGAACCTAGAGCTCACGTCCTACCTCAGTACCTCAGACACTTATTTGCTGGGTGACCTGGACAAGTCAGTGAACTTCTCTGCCTCAGTTACCTCATCTGTAAAAATGAAGGGGTTAGACCTGATTCTATCAGAATGACCCAGGGCTGGTAAGGAGAGCTAAGGACAACCGAGTGACTTTTTAAAAGTTGTATTGGGGAAGAGAAGGATAAACAAAGGGATAGGACGGCTGCTCCACATCCATGGGACAATTACTGGTGAGAAAGAACACCCCAGCAGGTCACTTCTTATTTTGTTTCTGTTTTCTCTAATTTGATTGGAAAGGATAGAAAAAAGTGGCTATAACAGAGAGCTTACTTAGAACTAAGGAAACAGGAAGAGAACATTTAGCTGCCCCTGATAAGTTTAAGTCCCCTGGTCCAGACAAACTATTTCCTCAGGTCCTGGAGGAACTGGCAAATGTGATGGCTGACCCACTGTCAGTAACCGTTCAAAAACTGAAGAACTCGAGGTGTCTCAGGGCTAGAGAAGGACAAAAGTTTTTCTTGTTTTGAAAATCAGGACAAGAATAATCAAAATCAGGCAGGACCAGGATCCCTGCTCTCCTTTCTGCTACTAGAATCGCACCAAGGATGCTTCCAGTGAGCCCCCAGAGAATGAGCTCATGCCCCAAAGCAGTTATTCTATCTACCTGTACAGTCATCTGCAGAACACCAAATAGAAAAGAAGAGCAGGACAGCAACTTGTCCCAGGACCATTATCTGAACCTTATTGAAAAAGATGAGGTGGCAACAGTAATAATAAAAGTTAACATTTATATAGTGCTTATTTGATCCTTCCAATAACCCTGTGATGTGGGTGCTCAGAGAGGTTATATGATTTGCCCAGGATCTCACAGCTAGTAAGTGTCCGAGGTGGGATTTGAACCCAGGTTCCCAGGACTCCAAATCCAGCACTCTTTTCACTACACCACATACCTGGGTCCTGTAATTAGAAACCAAAAATACTATGAGAGTTTGGAAGGATGGCCTGGAGTAAACAAGATGATATTTACAGAAAAAAATATGAAGTCTGTTATTTGACTTCAGAAAACTAACCATACAACTATAGGATATTAGAGCCATGGGTAGGCAATAGTTCATTTAAAAAAAAAACCCTGAACCTGGAGTATTACAAACTTCTAGACCCAAACATGAGAACCCTAAGCCTTTGGGTAGTGCCAGTGATTGCAAGGATGTGGCAGTTAGCTGGCTGCTTCCTGGCTACACACCAGATGCAGTGTTCTAGCCATAGAGGGATGCAGTGTTCTAGCCACAGAGGGATGCAGTTTTCAGGTTTCATTCCAGTCTCTGCATTCACCATGGAATAGTACTGCACGGTGTAGCTGCAATGTCCTTTCGTGACTCCGACGAAGTCTATCATGGCGTGGAGATGACCCTGGGTTCTCAAAGGTTCCATAAGCAGATCCACTAAGCTGAGAAGGCTTATCAGGTTATGGCCGAGTGACTATTTATATATTGTCTGAGGACCAGTCAAGCCAAGTGTGGAGAAGCTTATCAACAGTGTGGGCACAGGGTGTTGAAAAATTGTTTGGTTATCACAACTCTCTGAGGAAATCTAGTAAATCAGAGTGACTACGATCTGCGACGGTGGGGATAAGGGGACAGGACACATACTGATGAAGCCACAGATCTTTTAACTGTTGAACAAGTATACATATGCTTCAGAAACTAATTGTGCTTAGTAGCTTCTAGGCTTTAGGCACAGCAGTTTTCTTTCTTTTTTTCATGAAGATGCTAACTGATTTGAATAATGTCTCATTACAGAGAATCACAAGTACGTGGCTAACACTCCAATTTCTTTACATGTGAATCATGTGATATTTTTGGGGGGAGGGAAGGGAGCTAGACCTGAATTTTAAAGATGCAGATAACTCCACTGAGCAAACTCCTTCTACTCATGTAGATTTGTAACTATTCTTCAATTTATAATCTTAGAGACTTGCCCAGAAACATGTAGCCAGTAAATACTGGAGGCACAACTTGCATCCAGGTCTTCCCAATCCCAAGGCTCATTCTCTATTCACTACCCCACACTACCTATATCTCAGTACACAATGCCACAGTACTTCAAAAAAGATCTGTGAATTTATCAATTTTGAGTATTCCCAGCAACAAAGCAAATTGCAACCCTTAGATTGACTCATGAGTTTTTGGAGCCACAAGGTTCCCTGGCAAGCCAGCCTTTTGTGATGAGGCTCTTCAGATGTAACTAGGCTAGACCCATAATCCAAACCTTTCTGGCTTGAGAGGACTGAAGGGCTTGTGTTGTGACATGCAAACTCCAAGAACCCTGAGTCATCACCACACCACAATGAGGCATCCTAGGAGCACTTCAATGAAGTCTTTTTTTAAATATACTATTCTTAAAAACAGCTTTCTTAAACAGGAAGGAAAGAAAAACCTGTTCAATTAACAGCTGATTGAAATGTGAATTTTCCAAACAGTAAATAGATGCATCATTGTTGAAGGTTTCATGTGGGTGGAACCTCACCTTCTTCTTGGACACGGGGCGTCCCCGGGGCCTGTCATAAGCAATTCGCACAGGTTCATGAACTATAAGACCAAAAAATAAAATAAATAAATCAGGGGATAATCATCTTTTCTCCACGTTACTTATAGAGAAAACTGTTTAAGATAACTGCAAATTCTATACAGTATACAAAAGCACAAGCTTCTTGAGGGAGGGGGTCAGGGTCCTAATTACCTAGCACCTGACACATGTACTAGGTACTTAAAGGAAGTTTCTGATCCCTGGGGCCATGTGAACTCCACCATAGCTCTGGAAGGTTGTGACATCAAAATACAAAGATATACTGGTAATTAAATTTGCTTGGTTCTATCTAGTTACTACTTTTCACATTAAATACTGAGATCTAAAACAGCTTCTCCAAGATAAAAGGCAAGCTTTCTGCTCTCTATACATCCAATCTTCAAATCTATTATTTAGAATCCTCAAGGCCCAAGGGACCCCAGAGATCAATTAGTTCAATCCCCTACTCCCTCTACAACATCCCTAAAAGGTGATCCTATAGGATCTGCTTTAAGGCCTACAGGGATGGGGAAACTCTCCTTCCAAAGACAGCCCAATTCACTTTTAGAAAGCTTGAATTGTTCAGATGCTCTTCCTTGTACTGAGTTGAAATTTGCCTTCCTGTAATTTCCACCTGCCTTGGGACCTGTGAACAAACTGAAGCCCCTTTAAATGACAAACCCTTTGAGTATTTGAAAATGAATTCTCTCCTGATCCCCTGCCCCCGACTGTATCACTCTTTCGTTTTCTAGGCTAAATATCCCTGGTTCGTTCCATTAATCCTCAAATGCATGGTTCTGAGTCCCTGCCCCATCCTGGTTGCCCTCTGGATACATTCCAGCTTGTCAATGTCCTTCCTCAAATGTGGTGCCCACATACATGCCATATGTGTGGCACTAAGTTTCAAGCATGGCATAATAAATTACACACCTAGCACAAAATGTGCCCCATGTAATTTTTAATCTTCCTGATAACATGGCACTTTAGGACCTTGCAGTGCTTCAGTTCTGATGATCCCCCATTTTGTAGGCCTTTCTTTGTACCTCTCAGGTAATTTATCTTGTACTATTTATTACATGTTACAGTTATCTGTGTTGGTGTCTTCCCCTGATACCAGGTAGCGAGTTCCATGAGAGCAGGGATCATGGTTTTTTTTTCCAACTTTGTAGTTTTCTTAGAACCTAGCTCTGTAAACTGCTGGCACTTACATCTTTGTTCAGTTAATGACTGCTGTACTATATATGTGCCAAAGTGTCAAATTAAGAGAATGCCAAATAATAGTGAAAATGCACTATCAACGGTTTGGCCACAGTGCCTTTAAGACATCTTAGCATCCACCTACAGATTAGTAACTAAAAATAATTTCAGTTGGGTTTGTAATGTGCCATAAACCAGAGAACAATTGCAGGTAATCCTTACAAATTCAACGTGCAAAAATCTGAGTTTATTAAAGAGAAAATATAAAGTGATTATTCATGTAATGCATAGGTTTTTGCTTTCTCTAATTAATCTAAGAAGTACCTTTAAATTGGGTGTTTTCCTAGTGTATTTAAAATATGGTTCAATTTACAAGAATTTAATTTCACAAACAACTTTAATTTCACAAACAACTTTTCAGTAGTAAAGCAAGGTACAAGTGTACTGTGTCACTTTATCATTAGGAACATACAGTCCTGGAGTTAACAACATCATTCTCATGGACTAAATGGGAACACCTTGCTGGAGAGACAAATGCAAAGACACGTCAGGTACCTTTAGGTTCCTCTATAAGACACACCCTCTTGGGAGCCGGGATCATGCCAACTTTTAGTGATTTGCTGCTGATTCTCTTTCGAGGGAAACAGGCACTCGAAGCAGAGGACTGGGACAGAGCTGCTAAAGTGGCACCATCGCCCTCCGCTCCCGTGGTCTGTGCCTCCTCAAAGGGGATCCCCTCTGACTGAGACGCTCTACCAGCTTCTTCTCCAATTCTGGAGGTCGTGTCATCTTCTGGACCTTCTTCTTCTTCTTCTTCCTCAGGTCCCAGTTCTAACTCTAGTCCAGCCCCTTGTTGAGAATGTTCTCCCTCAAGCCCTTCCTCCTGCTCCTCTTCTTCCCCATGATCTGAAGCCTTCCCAGATTTCATACCCTCTCCAGCTTTGAGGTTTGGTGGGTTTTTTGTGAAATTAATAGAAGGGCACAGTTCATACACTTTCATTCTATAAAACTTGAAGGCAGGACTATTTTGGTCATGTAGAAACCTGGGTTGAGAATGAAATTGAAATTCCATCAGTTAAGTCAGAGGATGTCTTTGGAAATAACTTACTGGAGAACAAAGGAATGGCATTCCTTTGGTAGCATATATGCTGAAATATGTCTGGGAATGATTAGAGGCTGTAGGGGTAGACTAAATGATGAAATGGATCTGATCAATGAAGGAAAGGGTGGAGTAGGAAATGGAACACTGGCCCTGGTAAGACCCAGCTCTTGCCACACACTGGTTGTGAGACCTTGGGCAAGTCACTTAACCTCTAGTTTGTCCTTTGGTTAAATGAGGGGGTTGAATTAGGATGACCTCTAAGGTCCATTTCAGCTTTATCATTCTGTAATTTCGAAAAGAGTCAATAATACTGATAAATAAACCAAGCCCAAGTCTAACTTTATCCCACTGGGAATAGAGTGCCAATATTCTGAAAGAAAAAAAAAGAAAAGAGAGGAAAGAAAAATCCTTCATTTTCCACTTTTCTTCATAATTGTTCATCCTCCTGCTAAGACACAGATCTAGAGAAGTGCCATCAGATATCTGACAGATGCTTTATCTAACTATCTACATATCTCTATTTCTATCCTGGCCCTTTCTCTTTTAGAAGCTGAGCTCCTAGAGAATAGGAGTATATGATTTTAGACAGAATCACAGAATGAGAGAGCTAGAAGGGACCTCACGGAACACCTTACAGGAGCTTGTTACAAGCGGTCTGAAAGGTCACAGAGTTAGCAGGCCCTGAATCGAGTCTCCAGCAGCTTCATCGGAGTGAATTTTATTACGCTGATCACAGGATATTTTGGCTTCCCAGAAGCCTTTTCTTGTTGCTGTTGCTCCTTCTTGTATTCTGCACAGTTAAGCCTTGGGAATAAATGACTTCCAGGTAAGTGAATTGTTACTGTACAGTTTTAGGGTGCTATTTTATAGTCTTGCTGCCAAATCTAATTTATATGATCCTCACAAACATATCATATTGCAAGGCAAGTAAGGCAGCTATCGCTATCCCCTTTCCATAGATAAGGAAGCTGCAGGACCAAAAGGTTAAATGACATCATCAGTACTCAAGTCTCTTGACACCTCCATTCCACGACCTGCGCTTCTTTTACAAGCAGAGGCAGGCTGATACAGAAGCAAGGTGCTGGAGTTGGAATCGGAATCCTTGGGTTCAAGGCTTGCTGCAATACTAACCAGCTAGGGAGCTGTGGAAAAGGCACCAATGCTACAAGCCTGCGTCTCCTCAAGAGCAAAACAAAACACTGGCTATTTAACAGAGTTCTTATGAAGAAAGTACTTTGTAAGCTACAAAGCATTATGGAAAGGCAAACTGTTATTATGTCTGATTCCTCTCAGTTTTGCATAATAAAGGCAATGAAATTTATTAATTACACAGGAAGAATGGTCAACAGAACTATCTGGCTGAAAGTGCATTGTAAACCTTGGCGCCCTCCACACATGTAAGGGACCATCACTGTCATCCTCCTCCTCCTCCCCACCACACTGCCACTGAGGAGCAATAAGCTAGACTGCTCGAATGTACCGTGACTAAGTCAAACCCAGTATAACGGGAAAAGCACTGGACTGGGAATGAAATGAACAGACTGAGATGATCTGGATTCTGGTCCTGGCTCTGCCACTTGGTTGTGTGATCTTTGGCAAGTCAATTCACCTCTGAGCCTCAGTTTCTGCATCTGTAAGATGAAGGGAGGTGTGGACGAGATGACCTCTGAGATTAACTCTCTTAGCATTAACATTCTGGAATCCTAGAAAGGCCTGAGTAATGCTTGCCCACTGGCATCCTAACAGTAGTGTTACGTGCATGGCTTTCAACAGACAAAATCATACGGAAGAGACGCCAGGGACCATTGTTCCATCCCAACCGTGCCCAATCAACAATCGGTGGCCGCACATGACATTGCTACACAGAGTCAGTGCTTACATACGCTTTATAGTCTAGATGTCAAAGAGTCACACAGTGGTTCAGAACCTGGAATGAGAATGACAGTAGCAGACCACATTTCCTGAAAAGAGGAAGGCATTAAAAGTCATCTCCTATGCTTACAGATGAAGACGTTGAGGCCAAGACTGTCACAGAGTTATGACACAGTTTATAAGGCAAGCCCAGATTCGAAGAATTCCAAGCCTAAATACTATCTCCACACCATCGTGTTGCCTCTAAAAGATTGCTTTAAACTCCATTCAGGATAGAGGGAAACTGAAGCAAGCCTATTCCAGGGATCATGCATACAACCTGACCTGAACTATGGGAGACCCAAAAGGACCTTTGGGCAAGGCAGCTCACTTAGAAGATGACCTCACAAGGTGGACTTCAAGGAGGGAACTGTGGGAAGGTTTCAATGTATTTTATTCTTCGAGAATCAAGAAGATACAGCAGTTACTTACCACAGATCTGGGTTGTCTGCGCTGTTTTCTATACTAAATTGTTCAATTTCTGGTCCCACCTGAGCAACAAATCTAGCTAGTTTCTCAGCAGTATCCATTGTCTTAGCATCAACTGCAAAATGCAAAACAGTTATCACATATTAGTTCTGAATTCAGAGAATCCAAAGCATGTCAGGGAAAGAAAAGTCCTTATAATATTAGAGCTAGCAGAGACCTTAGAGGTAATCCAACCAAGGGATCCAAAGGCCAAGAACTCTTTGAATACATAATTAGCATTTTTAGCCAAAATAAACAATCAACATCTACTAAGTGTAACTTACATTATTCTCCGTTCAGGACCCTGTGTTAGAGCCTGGGCATAAAAAGGACAAAGCTTGGAGTGCCAAGAGTTCAAATGCTACTGGGGATGGGGAGCTTTCCATATTTATAGAAATGAAGGGAAGAGAGGAAGGGAACATGATGAGTTTGTGGCAGGAGGCACAACGGAAGCATTACTGGCTTTGGAGTCATAGAACTTGGATCTGAACATCAGTACTGGTGTGACCCTAGGCAAATCACTTAGGCTGCCTAGACCGATCTCTGCGGAGGGACAGGCTTGATGACCAGGAAGGTCCTTTCTAGCCCTAAATCTATGATCCTCTGAGTCCACACCTATAGCCTCATTTACTGGGAAAGCCACAGGGAACTGGTGGTCTCCTTTCCAGCTCTCCCTTCCTCCTGCCCATCCCGTTGGGTGGCCCCCAATCGAAAGATCCCCCACCTGAGCATCCTCTCCTTAGAACTGTGATTTCACAACCTTAATTCAGGGGTCTGTTTTTTTTTTTTTTAAACTCTTCCCATCTATCCCATACCTCATCCCCTCTGGGCTTCCTGCCATTCAAGGTGACAACTAACCTGGTAAATTCACTGTACTAAGGTACTAATACCTTAGTGCTTGCTCAGGGATCTTGCCCTGGTGCTCAGGGTATCTAAGGGGCTTCTGGAGAAAATAAATAAACAAATTTTATAAGTAAATTTTTTTTAAAGAATTGAATAAACCAGTATTCTAAAACATTTTTAGAAGGCTGACCCCTGATCTAGTCTAACCTCCCCATGAATATTCTTCATGGCACCCTTCATTGGATGACCTCTAAAGTCCTTGATAGTTTTCAATCATAATATCTTTTAAATAGTAATCTAAACTCTACCCCAAACATCCAGTGACAGGGAACTTGATGAGCTCCTTGAAAGCAGGGCCTTTGCCTTTCCTTGTATCCCCAGTGCTTAGCACCATACCTGAGCCTGATAAATAGTAAGTGCTTAAAAATGCTTCTTAACTTGACTTGGTGAGGTAGAAAGAGCACTGAACTTGAAGGCAGGAGGCCTCATCCTGCTTCTAACACTCACTAGCTGTTTGACTTTGGGTAGCTTACTTTAATTCTCTAATTCTCAATTTCCCTATCTATAAAGTGGGGATAGTGATACTTGTACTACCTACCCCACAAGGTTGTTGTGAGCAGAGTACTTTATAAACTTGAAAGGGCTACAGAAAACAGTTATTAGTAGTAGTAGTACTTCTATACCACACATGGCTGCCCCATTCTATTGCTGAACAGCTCTGGCTGTTAGGAAATTCCTCATTAAACTGAGCTTCAATCTGCCTTCTTGGAAAACTCCCTCTACTGGGCCTATGTCCACCTCCTGGGATCAAGCAGAATAAGGCTAATTAATCCCTCTTCAATACGGTTGCTTAACTATCCCTCAGAATTATTTTCTTAGCAGTCTTGCTGTTGTCTTTCTTTAGGTCCCACTGGCTTTGGATATTCAATATGAAATCTTCACCTACCACTGGCAAACTGGGAAGGTGGGGGAGTCTGGGGTGACTCAGGCAAGGCAGGAGAGGCCTCAGTCTCAGCAGCTCCTGGAGGGCAGGTCAAAGGTCCTGGGCTGGGGTCACAGGGAAGAGGTCCAGGTTCCTCTGATGGCGAGTTCTTCTCAGGGCAGTTTACATCAGACACAGAAGACTTTGTCTGGAACCCCCCATGGGCGTGTCTGACCTGGTGCTTCAGCACGGTCCCTGCTGAAAGTACGGTCTGTGTCCCCACAGTTGCTTTTCTCATCTTCCAGCCGCTGATCCCCCAGGATGAGAAGAGCCCGAGCCTCTTCCGGGGAACCAGTCTCTTCTTCAGGCTCTGGACCCTCCTTGCGTACAGCATCGCTCTCACGGCACATTCCTCGGAAGTTGGCTGGTGTTCCTCATCTTTTTTAACCTCTTTTATCCTCTGCATTTCTGCCAACTTCAGCTTATAATATTTATACTCCAGACTGTCCTCATCAGATAAAAACCTAATGAGGAAGGAATACATTAAAATACTTACTTAGGTCAATATTATATTGTTCACAAACAGCCTATTTATACCATCTCTATTCCATATTTGTAAAATATTTTGTGAGTTTTAAATTAATTGTTCTCTTTCATTTTTTAAAAATTTTACATATTTGTTACAAGGGCTTAGTTTTTCTTTCTTTCTTTTTTTTTTTTCCCCAATGTGGGGAGGGGTGTGTGTAGAAAAGAAAGATTTTGGTTAATTTTTTTAAAATAAAATTTTATTTTATTTTATTTTATTTTTAAAAATGTAATTTTTTCCTCTGTGGGAAAGAATGTTAGTTACATATAAACTTCAGTTCAGATCTGTGTGTCAAGTTTGCATTAGAGAAAACGACACATTTCAGTAAATCTCATCTGGCAGCTGCACAGAACACTTATGTTATTATAATTTCACATATCTGTGCCTTGCTATATATTTCTTACAAGTCTTTCTTTCAACAAACTTTGTCAAACTCCCTAAGAGTAGGGACCATATCTTGTTTTTGTAACTCTCTCAGTATATGACAGTATTTTGCACACAGTAGGAACTTATGGGTATTGAATGAGGGTTCATTAAGATCGTGCTCAACCTAAAATTATAACAAATCTGCCTGTCAATGACAAGACTGCTTAGAATCTTCAGGATTGGGAAGAGACACTGAAGGTCATTTAGTTTAACTCATGTAAAAAAGAAACCTCCACAACATCTCCAACTAGTGGTTGCCTCGATTTGAAAACTTTCAGTGATAGAGAATTTAGGGGAAACTACATTTAGGGGAAACCTAGATCAGTTTTGTGAAAAGCTCTAATTGTTAAAAAATTTCTCTTGATGTGGATCTGAAATATTCCCTGCAACTTCCACCCCACTGGTCCCAACTGTGCCTTCTGAGGACAAGCACAGTAAGCCTAAACCCTCTTCGATGCAATAAGCCTTCAGTTATTTGAGGGCAGTCATCAAACTGCCTAAAGTCTCTTGCCAAAGGCAGGCTCTTTCAATTAAAAAAAATTAATATTGGATCCAGAGTCTCTTATAAATGTTACACCAGAATTTTGCTACTGACTTTTGTTTTGTTTTGTTTCCTCTATCTTAGGAAATGTTTTTATTAGACATTACTCTTCTAAAATTGACTTCAATTCAAGAAACACCGACAGGCTTAAACACCAGAGTGTGCATCAGAAGTTGTGCACCAGGCAGAGTACAAAATCCCGAATGAGAAGAGGTAGCACATATTTTTATGTCACCTTTAATGGTCACCTTTATGGAATCTTTGCATTATTTCATGGTCTGACTAACAAGACACAATTTGCATAGCAAAATCAGTCTCAGAAAATTGTTTTTTTTTTAAATTCTCACATCTCACCCCCTTTCATAAAATAACCCAGTGAAAACTGTGCTGACATTGAGATGGAGTCTAGTATACTAATAACACTGTATTTTTGTTTAGTATTTTATTTTATTTTATTGTTCAGTATTTTATTTTTCCCAGTTACATGTAAAAACAATTTTTAACATTTGTTTTTAAAACTTTGAGTTCCAAATTCTCTCCCTCCCTCCTCACCCCCCTCATTGAGAAGGCAAGCAATTGGATACAGGTTATACATGTGTGTAATACGGCATTTTTGAAACATAACAGTAATGCCCGCTGCAGAATGCATACAACACCTACCCTGCTCATTTGTGGAGGCAGCAAAGGCGACCCAAGGCAGTCTGGTGGACCGGGAAAAGCACTAGACCTGGCACCAGGAATTCTGACGTAAGAGCCCTGCTCTGCCACTGACGGCCCTCACCAAATTCCTTCCCAGCCCATGAGTACCGTGAAAGGGCTGCAGCCCAGCATGGGGTGAGAGTGCCACTGTGGAGCCACAGGGCTTGGGTCTGAAGCCTGGATTAGTCACTACCTGGCTCTGACTAAGTCACTCTGCCCCACCATGGACCTCACTTTCTTTTGCACAATTACAGAGTTGGACCAGATGATCTCTAAGCCAGCCTTCTCTCACTTGACTCTCCCAAACTGCATCACCTATAGTTCCCCTAATCTATCCCACCTTTTCTCACCTCTGTACATTTGCTCACAAGCTTCTCTAACCTCTGGAATGTACAACATCCCCTTTCCCTGCCCCAAACTCTTTAGCTTCCAAAACCCAGACCCTAAGCCACATCCATATGAAGCTTTCCTAATTCCTTCAACTGGAAATGATTTCTCCCTCCTATGAATTTTAAAATTCTTTATACCTCCCTTACATACTTATTGAATTCAATTTTGTATTATATTCTGTGCATTTTCTCTTAGCTCCTAGACTGTAAATCTTTTGAAAGCAGGGTTCCATCCAATTCATTTTCATCTTCTCCAGTACCTACCCCAGGACCTTACACAATGTGGGCACTGAATGAAATGATTCAATGGGAAAGGGCAATTTCCTAGATGATACTTGGAAGAATTCTTCCACTTCTCCACTCATTACAACATCCAGAGCAGAATAAAGGAATGTATATCCATTATTGAAGGCCTTGCTCCCATGAGGAATATCTTTCCAATATAAAAGAGTCCTAACCAAACCTCAGAAAGTTCTATTCGAAATTCTCATGTCCTAATGTTTGGGTGATAGAAAGTCCTCATGTGCTTGAGCATTTCTTAAATACCTACCAATAAGTAGGGTTCTTCTTTAGTGTTGCTCTTTCTTTTGGGGACAAGTTGCCTTCAATTATACTCTTCACAAATTTTTCAATTGTCTCAACAACCTTTCTGTCTGCTCGCTGAGGAACTGTAATAAACAAATAGAATGGGCTTGACAGAGGCACTGGAATGCTTAGGTCGCATAAAACCAACGCTATCTGACAAGGATTTCCAGGCAACTCCTCTCAGCTAGTCTGAACCATTAATGTTCTCATTCTTAAGAGCCTAACATTTGAAATAGCATTGGGATCGGAGATTGGCATTTTAATGCTTGGAGGACATTCAAAAACTTAGAATGTCCAGGGCAAGTTAAATAGCTTAATTATTAAGGGACAAGCCACAAAACTAAAGTATAAGACGACTGTGTTTTAAAATGTTTTACTGCTGCTTAAAATAAGATCAGTCATTTCTGGAAATATTCCCTCTTCCCCTCTAAATTGAAATCTTTATTGTAACAATGAAAACCTGTTTTATAAACACACACACACACACACACACACACACACACACACACACACACACACA